TCAGACGTGTGCTCTTCCGATCTCCCCAAAACCCCAAAACCCCGCTTTGTATTTTATGTGAATTATGAAATGAATTATACAATAAATAATAATATATTATTAAAAAGGGAAGAAAAAATGTACACAAAAGCATTAAGAACTGTTTATTTGAGAAACTACGACTGTGTCAAGAGCACCTTAGCCAGTAAGAATTATTAAGCTTCTTATAAAAATATGAAGAATTCCTCAGATTCTAATATCCTCATGAGTACGAGCAACCAAAGATCAAGACTTCTTTCCCAGGACCAGAGCATCAAAAAGCACTAGACAATATTTAATCATACAACCCTGATGGCCTTTACAAGGTAACTTTAGACCTAATAATATTCATGATATTCATCCTTCTCAATCAGCTCATTTTAAATATAGTATCAAAGATTCGTAGATCTTAAAAAAAGTAAGGGTAACTACTTTGTTGATGTTGATGGCAATGTGATTCTTGATTTATATCAAGGCTATGCAAAGCAGCCTCTTGGCTATAATCATGATATTTTTGTCAATGTAAATTTTTGAAGCTTATCAATTTTCAGGCAAGACACACAGATGTTTATGATAGGTTTGTTGCCAACAGAATAGATGCTTCTGCTCTTCCCAGTGATGATTATGCTGATCTCTTGAGATAAAACCTTATGCCTGTAGCACCTTCAGGAATGACTTAAGTTCATTTAAATGATGGCACTTCCACTCAAGCTAATGAGTCAGCTCTTACAGTAGCAATATTAAAGTATTCTTAAGAGCACAAAATATAAGATGTTTCTCACCTTACAGTAATGGGATTCGAGAATGGCTATCATGGTAACTCAATAGCTAACATTTCATGCAGTGACCCAGCAATCAATTTACAATAAGTATCAATTTTTGAATGGCCAATTGCTCCATTCCCAAAGATCTAATTCCCAATGGCTGAATTCGAGCACTAAAACAGAGCTGAAGAAGACAGATGCTTAGATCAAGCAAGAAAAATAATAAAGCTCAGAAGAGACACAAAGAGAGATGTTGCTGCAATTATTATTGAGCCAATCTCATCTTACCAAAACACCATGGCTACTCCTTACTTCTATAGATAACTTAGAAAGATTGCTAAAGAATTCCATATTCCATTCATTGTAGATGAAACTAGAACTGGTGTTGGTATCACAGGCAAGATGTGGGGGCATGAACACTGGAACTTGAATGATCCAGCTGATATTGTGACATTCGGAGGAAAAGCTGGAATCTCAGGATTCTACACTACTCTTGATTATCAAATTCAAGTTGGAGACAGCACATTCAATAATGATTAGAGTGTCGATATGGTTGATCTAATCAACTTTGGACTTACTTGGAGATATATTCAAAAGAAGAATCTCTTGAGCTATGTGCAAGATACTAGCACCTTCTTAAAGATTGAACTTGCAAGAGTTGAACGAGAGAGAGGCATTATATCAAATGTTAAAGGGTATGGTACTTTCCTTGGCTTTGATGTTCACAACCCAACTACAGCACTTCTGATGCAAAAATGGTTCTTCAGATCTGGTATTCAACTTCTAAAATGTGGACCTCTCTCTTTCGGTATAAGACCTTCTCTACTCTTAGGACCCAAGCAAGCAGCACATCTTAGAGATAACTTGATGAATTATTCACCAAACTTCGATAAAATTTGAGAAAACTTGCTGTCCCTGCGCGGATATTGTTATCTCTTTATTTAAACTCATAAGTTATCTAAATATATATTTCAATTCTCTTTTGCCTAAAAGTCATTCTGTGAATTAAAATCAAGGTTCAGGGGTTTTGGGGTTTTGGGGATAAAATTTTATATTGATTCCTTTCC